AAGAGGGGAAAAAAAAATTTAAAGATGAGGCAAGAGAAGTAATAAATTAATGGGGTGTGAAAACATTCAAAGCTTTACAATACCAGGGGCAGTATTTGCTCAGATTTGGGGGGGGGGCAGCAGGATGGGAAGGGGGAGCACGGGATGGGAGGGGGTGGAATGAGAGATGGGAATATTTTTGGTGGTTTTTCCTTTTTTTTTTTTTCCTTGCTTTTTCCAGGTCGTTTTCATCTAATTTATTAAGAGAAGGCCGGGATTGTGTTTTTCTAAATGTGAAAGTCTCTTAAAGGCAGTGGTGGTGGTCCTGCAGCTGATGAAATCCGAGTGCTGCCTGCTCCTTTGGAATATTTCCCTGATGGATGCACCACCCCTTTAACACCCTGCTTTGTATAAACTTTCACTACAAGCCAAGAATATTTAGTGGGCAATCCTTTTCATTTCTCCTAAATTGCATTATCATTAAACAAATCATTGCCCCCGTCCGTGGTTTTTATTCCAAGATGTGGAACTGCAATCCCCGGGATTCTCTGCGAGGTTTCTTCGGATCTTTGGGGCTCCAACCTCAGATTTAATTAAATATTCAAGGTGCCACGGCCTTCTAGGTTGTCTGGTTTTCTTTCCAGTTGTTTGTGTAAAATCAAAATCATGTAAATTAAGGTGAAACTTTTAAAGGAAAATGGTAAACTTATTTTCCTTGTGTGCCATCCCTAAAAAACCGGATGGGTTATGGACCAGCACCCCTGGAAAAAGGGGTTTCCTTTCTGTTTTTTTAATGTTTTTGCAGAAAATAACTTGATAAAAGAATACTTGTGAGCACTTGCACCATTCTTATTAATTTATAGAGTGGTGCAAGTAAATCCAGGGTGAATTTGCCCTTAAAACTTTCATTTTGTACCCAAGGAAAATCCTACAAGCATCGTTCCCTCCCGTTTCCAAAGGGACTTTTGACATTTTACAAAAGCACCTTCCACGACCACGACAGGAAAACCAACACCCAAACAATGAAACGCACCAAAAATTCAGATATTTACTCCATGTTAAGGCTTAAGGGTTCCCTGTGCAAAGTTTTTAGAGCATGAAAGTCAGTTCTGAGCATCACTATTTGTTATTTCCCTGCTCAGATTGTTCCCTTTTGCTGTTAGATGCTGGTTATGAAGATTATATTTTGTGTATTGAGACAATATTGAGATTATGAAGATTATATTCTGCATAACGAGACAAAAAATATAATTAGGGTGAATAATTATACATGAATTCTAAACACACCTGTAAGGAACTTTACTGACACAGCAGTTGCTCAAAGTGCTTTCAAGAGAAGACTTAATTGTAAAGATTAAATAATGATTAATAAATCAGCAAAATAAACACTTATAAAATAAATACTTATCAAAGACGTGGGAAGTCCTGCCATAAAAACATCCTACTAAAGGCCAGAAAATGAAATAATCATCCTTTAGTTTTACTGGCAGATTGCAGGATGTCCTGAATTTCCACACTGCAGCGATTTCCCCCTATAAATCTTCTTCATTTAAACTGAATTTACACACACCATTTGTCTGTGTCTTAAAAATAAAGGAAAAAGGAAGGGAAAAAATACACTTTTCGCAGCTGCAGCTGGAGACAAACATCCATTTGTGGGAAATTTCAGGTGTTCTCACCCACGTGGCCACACTCTCCATTTTCACAGGGAAGCAGCTTGGAGGATTTAGGGACAAATTCGGAGCCACACACGTGATTAACTCCATTCCCTGAATAACCCCACTGAAGTGAGGAGGAATTACTCAAGGAATGAGCAGAATCAGGCCTTAACTAGGAAAATAAAGAGATTAAAAACCCCTTATTAATTAGCCCCCTAAACAAAGAAGGTTTCTAAAGGTTCTCCTGCCCAGCACATGCCGAAAATACAGAAATTCGCATAAAATCCCTTCTGAAAAGCAGTTGCTTGAAAAGCTTAATAGCCACATTTTAAAAGTTTCACCTCCTCGACTGTTTTGCATTAAAAAATATATACAATTTCATGGGCTACTGCCTTGCCAAATATTCTTTCACAAACCCGATCTGCTTTTTAATTAGAACAGCAAAAAGCATCTTTAAATTTGGCAGTCGTGGTTTGCTCCCAGTTCAGGGAGACATTTTTGCCTGGAAGCACATGGAATGTCCACGTTCCAACCTCCCTCTCCCATCAGGTTTATTTTGAATTGTGCCCTCATCACTTTGGATTTTAGGTTATAAAACACCTAAACATGACCATCGAGACCCTCGGAGTTCCCTACGCATGGAGGGCTCTTCAATGGAAGTTTCTTTTCCAGTCCTCTCCTCCAAAAACACATTTAAAACCCAGATAAAATATTCCAAGTCTATCATCTTAACGGTGTCAGTGAACATTTTGCAGAGGAAAACAAACAAAAAACAAAAAAACAAACAAAAAAAAAAAGTAAAAAATCAGAATATTTCCACCCAGGCAAAACCTTCCCAAGTCTGTAAAAGTGTCAGGAGAATTTGCTTAAAACAGCTTCTAAAAATGGGAGAGGGAATGAGTCCCAGCCTATTATTCAATAACCATGTTTGTGAGGCATCTGCATAATCTAACCATGCATAAATTAGTATGTGTATTACAACAGTTATTTGCATAATAATAGCAAGTTAATAGATGCTTAAAGAGCACAGACCAACACCACCTTTAAATCAGACATGCCTCCAGGCACTGCGAGCTGTAGAGACCAAGATGCAGAGAACAGTCTTCATAAAACATATGAAAACATTAAAAAACCACATTCAAATAATTCATTTTTTGTCCCTGGACACTTGACTCTTTTCCCCGCCTCTCCCCAGAAAGAATAATTGGAGGAACTGCTGAACAGTTTGTTCCTGTGAATTCTAACATCCATCTCGAGATGAGAATTTCAAGTGATCGCCAGAGCCGGTTCTGGATCTGTTTTGTTCAGAGCTTTGTGGGGTTTTTAAGTGTAAAAAAGTCAAATATTCCGTGGTGATGCAGAGCTCAGCATCCACCCAACCATGGCCACCAGAGATGGGAAGAGTTGTGCCAGCAGCTTCAGGTGGAAACTTAGAAAATACCAGTATTTACAGCAAATGCTAATATTAGGTCCTCTTCAAAGGAAGAATCTGAAGCTCCCTTAAGTATTCCATTCACATTCTATTTTTGAGGGGATTTTAGACCATCGTGCCATTATTCAAAATCGGAATTAAGAATAAAATTATAAGGAAAGGAGCAGATACACCTTCCTGCTTCAAAAAAAAAAAATGTTGTAAAGACTGGATTATTTTTTAATCTCCCAACAAAACGAACAAGATTAACATCACCCTAATTTTCATTGTCACCAGGGAAAGAAAACAGTTTGGAGAAGAGAATACGAGGGGGGGGGGCAAAAAAAAAAAATCAATAGAGACTTCTAAATGACTCCTTGCAGCTCCCACTTTTCAATTTAACAGGACAGATTTATTTGTATGTGGCTCAAATGTTCACAATTGCTCTCTGCACCTTCATACATAGGAATGAATGTCACAGTGGCAAACAGCAGTAATGAACAATCTTACCTGAGGATATGGAAACCTCCCAAGAGCAAGCTGGGAAAGGAAATAATATTTGTCTAGTTATAGAGATTTGCATGGAGGGCACATTTCCTTCAAGTGAGAAAAGTACTCAACTCTCAGGATGGTTGGAATTGGGGAAATGGCAAAAAAGGGATTGTGCAGGCACAAAGAGCTGTATTCAGAATGGGTCCCTCACAACCATCACTCCTCATTTTTCCAGGATTTCTGG